ACCAAATGCCTAGGAGTCACTACTGAGTTCTCTCACTCCTTCACTCGCCCACTCAACATACCAGCGTTCCTGTTTCACATCCAAACTTCGTCCCAAATTCATCAATGTCTTTCCATCTCACCATGACAATGATCGCACCAAATCCGGGCTCCTTCTCCCCCTGCATCTACTACAGCCTCCTAAGTGGGTTCCCTACTTTCCTCTTGCCCTCTCCTAGACACTACTATGTAGTCTTCACACCAAAGCCAAGAGCATCTCTAAAAAACTTCCATCAGCACAAGTGACCTTCTAGCATAAAGCAATCTGGTGCATCCCATGACACTTAAAATCCACACTTATTTTCATGGCCTACAAGGCCCTGCAGGATCCAGCAACTGCTTTCCTCTGCACCTCCATCCACCACTCTCTGTCAGCTCACTCCAGCGACACAGGCATTCTTTCTCTACTCAAACGTGCCAGCCCACCTGCTTTCTGTTCTTATTTTCCTCTGTCTGGAGGTCTATTTCCCCAGGTAGTATTAGCCATCAGGTCTTTGCTTTAGAGTCACCTCTACAATAAAACCTTCCCTGACCATCTGGCAAAAGTGGCTTCTCGGTCACTCTTCCTTGATTATACATCTAAACCACCTTTTTTATGTGTTTTACATGTGTGAACTTTGCTTTCCTCCCTTAATGGTAAGCTCTATGATGGCATGGACCAAGCCTTATCTCTGGAGCCTAGGAAATGACTGGCACCAGCATATATACTCCATAAACGTGATGAAATGAATGAAATGTCTTTGGCTAGTATCCATTTAAGAGCCACCAATGAGTTCCTGCTTCTGAGACTAAAAGTCAATCTCTCCCCAAATTTGCCATTCCACTATACACTCAAATGGCAACTGGTTAATGATAAAATTGTCACCTCCAAAAGGAAGCTTTTTGTCCTTCCAGGTTTTCCGAAAGAAACTAAATAATACTCATATCACAAACAACAAATCTTAGGAGAGTCTAGGCCAGAGAATTTGAGGGAACCTCACATAACAGTAACAGCCTACAGGCTGCTAAAATAATCCTTATGCACTAAACCGAAAATGACCAAAGCCCACAAATGCCTAGAAACATTCAGAGAAAAACAAAACTGGGGCCTAAATCATGAAACCTTCACTGATATGAGGAAGGAGTTCTTCAGTGTTAACAGTCTTGCATTTCCATAGAGCTGTGTTTCATTTGCTCCTCACCGTAGCCATGAGGAATTGGTGAGCTGATGCTACTGACCAGAATGAAGTTTGATTAGAAAGTTTAAATGACTTGGTGAGAGAGAACAGAAGTATCATGGCACAAGGATCTTGGAGCGTAAATCCTCTGCCACTTACTGTAACTTGATCTTGGGAAGTCATTTCATCTCTCTGTGTCTCAGTGTCCTCATCGAGAAAATACACTCCTTGTAGATGAAATGCTGTATTCCCCTAAAATGCATATGTTGAAATCCAACTCCCCACGTGATAGCACTAGGAAGTAAGGTCTTTGAGAGGTGATTCAGTCATGAGGGTAGAAACCTTATGAACAGGATTAGTGCACTTATAAAAGACACTCCAGAGAGCTTCTTCCTGCAACGTGAGGACACAGTGAGAAGGCAGCTGTCATGAACCAAACACTCATCAGACACTGAATCTGTCAGTGCCATGATTTTGAACTTCCTAGCCTCTAGAACCGTGAGAAATAAACTTCTGTTATTAATAAACCTCCCCCCCCCAAAAAAATAAAATAAACCTCCCCATCTATGCTATTCTATTATAGCTGCCCAACTGACTAAGACATACAACTTACTTCATAGGCTGTGGTAGGGTGAAATTGCCCCCGCCCCACCTCCAAAGATGCCCTCATCCTAGTGCCTAGAACCTGTGAATATGTCTGTCACTTCAGGGGGCGAAAAGGCTTTGCAGATATGACTGAATTAAGGACCTTGAGGTGGGGAGATTATGCTGGATTATCCAAGTGGATCCAATGTAACCACAAGGATCCTTGCAAGAGGGAGGCAGAAGAGCCACAGGCAGAGAAGCAAGTGACAGCAAAAGAAAAAAGATAGAAAAAAGGATTAGAAGATGTTAACACTACTAGCTTTGAAGCTGGATGGTGGGGCCACAAGCCAAAGTATACAAGAGGCTTCTTAAAGCTAGAAAAATAAGGAAACAAATTCTTCCATAGTCTCCGGAAGGAAGACAGCCCTATCAATCCATTTTAGGATTTCTGATCTCTGACCTATAATAAAATAAACTTGTGTTGTTTAAGTCACTAAATCTGTGATAATTTGTTACAGCAACAATAAGAAACTAATACAGAGCTATTTATCATCAGGATTCAATGAGCTATGCACTTGCAAATGCTATGCACAGTGCCAAGTACCAAAGTAAGAGCTCTTTAAATTTTAACTATGATGAGCCAAGACCAGAACCCAGGGGAGATTCAGAGAAGCACTGCAGGAACTAAGAAAATAAGGTTCAGAAATTTGGTAGTATCGATCTAAATTCAAAATGCACATATCATATGACAAAGATTCCATTTCTAAATAGATTTATAGGATATTCAATACATCCTTAGTTGCAACAACTCAAATATCCTGTATTAGGCTAAAATTATAAAAAATCATTCAACCGAGTACTAGGCAGCCTTTAAATAATGAGGTAAACCCCAAAATGCAGATAAGGAAAGTTCTACAAGACGTATGCTTTGATGAAAAACAGCCAAGGACAGAACAGCAAGTATATTAGATTCCCTTTTTGTTGAAAAATTTAAAGGATGCATACATATATTCATAAGCATACGTGACAAAAATTCTAGAAGGGCACATAGTTAACTGTTAATGGTGAATGTTCTAACAAAAGAGACCAAGAGCATGGAGTAGGAGGGGAACTCTTGTCATTGTATGTTCTTTCATATGGTTTTAGCCTTTTTACTAAGTATGTATGTGATATTCATTTCTAAAAAACTGAGGCTGAGATGTGACATCACCAATCAAGTATTTATGGGCTGACATGTCCACCATTGTATGTATGACCCAGGGCACAACACAGGGTCCTGCTCTCCAGGAGTTCACAATCTAGCTGAGTTCATCATCTAGATTTATATCAGACAATCACCTCTCTAATTGTTTAAGACGTTCACATCAGAAAAGGGAACCAGACAGTCTCTCCACGTACTTTTCCACTATGACTCTATGAGAACAAATCACCACCTAAAATTCTCATCTAATCCATTAGTCCCAACCAAAGCTGCTTGCAACTAATAAAATGTTATTTCCTAGGAAGTAGTCAAAGTTTATGAAGGAGAAATCTTTACAGAACAACACAATTATAATATACATATATATATATAACACATTACAAGAAGAAAAGATGCACAAACAGTTGGATTTGTCTTCTTTGGTATACATTCTTCTATTTTCTTAATTCTCTACTAAGAAATATACATCAATGCTATGAAAAGAAAATACAGCCTCCTCCCCTCAAAAAACACTCTTTTTGGTGTTGACACAATATCCATGAGGATTACTGGTCATCCCAAATCTTCCTCTCATTTTGTGAAACTGACAACCCTGCAAAGTATTCCACATTAAAGAGAACTAGTGGCAAAACCAACAAGAATCATCCAAATCCAAGTGTTCCATTTATAAATATTTAGTCCACACTGTCACCCAATTAGAGCATAATCCATAAAGGAGACATTATTGCTAACAACGGAGGCAGAAGGGGATCTGGGTCACTCTTCCATAACTCTTATTAGTTCCTTTCAGCCAAGAAAGAAAAGCCTGTGTTAGCAAAGTATTTAGCTGACAATACATGTACGTAGAAATCATGATGCAGTTCATCTCCAGAATCTTATCTAAGGAGCAAAAAGACAGATGAAAAATATTCAAGGGTAATTAGAGAGTTTCCAAGTGGTAACTTACAAACGTACTCCTCCAATCTGGAGGCTTGAGGAGTCATCACAGCTAAAAGTACTGAATGTACCACAAATACTCCCTGATACAGACAAATACAACAAACTGATGCTGACTCCAAATGCCAGGCCCGGTGATAAGGGCCTTTCCATTTCCATTCCTAATTTCTTTGAATCCTCTCAATTGCTACTACGATGTGGAAGCGAAATTGAGGCACGGAGTTTAAATAACTTATCCATGGTTATACAGTCAGTGAGTGAAGCCAGGATGTGAATTCAAGCAGTCTTCATTCCAAAGTATAGACATGATAATGATACTAGCTTCAATGGAAAGTGTAAACATTTATCCACCCCCTTTCCCAATCGGCCCAACTGTCATACACTTTCATCTCCCCAACTTGTTCCTATCACTCACCACCCTCTCCCAAGCTCAGAATTAAATCAAATATTCTCCAGTCCTGTAACCACAGATGCCCTTACTGGCCTCCACTGCTCAGAAGCCAATATACGAGAATAAGAGCCCATCTGGACAGGATACTACCCCTAGGAAATGCCCACTTTTCAAAGACCTGTCTCCCAATGGAGCTGGCAGGTATGACTTGCAGCCTTCCACTCCGCTGGGACTCACTGAAAAAGTCAGTGTTTCTTTCCCTGTACACAGTTTCTCCTCATTCACATGGATTCACAACTTACCAAAGTGCTCTCATTCAGAAAGTGGTTCTAAATCAGTTCCTTCTGATAATAACCCTAATAATAATAAAGACAGCTACCATATACTGAGTATTCATTATCTAACAGGCTTTACAAACACTGTCATTTCTTCCTCACGACAACCCAATGAAGTAGGCACTGTCCCCAGTTTACAGATGAGAACATTAAGACTCAGAGAGGTAAAGTATTGATAATTCAGCCCAAGGTCATGCAGCTGGTAAGTGACTGAACCTGACCCCGTGCAACTTAAGCTTTCGGAAGTCTTGCCTCTTAGCGATGAAAATGTGAGCTTCTCCTGGACGTTCCCTGAGATTCACCTGTCAAGAACACATCTCCACTACCACATGAATCGTACCATCACTGAGCACTTACCTGAATTTCTTCATTTTCATCTACCAGGAGGAAACTCACAACCTTCTCAGTCATCTTCTTCCTCTTGGTCTCCTCATCTATCCCTTCTTCTTCCAGCAACTCCTGGACCTTAGTGACATGGTACACAGTAACGGGGTGCCTCCTTTTGTTACCCCCAGAATGAGTCCTCTTCTGGCACTCCAGGCACAAGTTGATTTTACAGGTCTGGCACCTCACCACTGCCCTCTGCTTCACACCTGGAGAGTGCCCATTGGGGCCCTTGCAGGGGTCACAGTAAGGGACATGGCCAGCTTTGAGTCTGATCCGCTCATGGTTTCTCAGGCGCTCCTGCCGATGGAGTTCCTCCTCACAACGGAGACACTGCAGGCTGCAACACTCATCACACTCGAAGACAGCTTCATCAGTGCCGCTGCAGGTGTAACTTTCCTGGCACAGCAGCCCTGGGTTCAGGCCCTTCTCTGCTGGGGAAGTCTGGGCACTCATATTCAGACTGGAAGGAAACCACCTACCGTGTAACGGTAACTGGGCTTTCCCCAGGGGAAGTGAAGACAGAGGCGTCGAGTCTGAAGACTGCACACAACTTCCACAGGGTTCTGAATACCCTAAAAAAAAGTGTCTTGTTTTTTTTAAAAAAACAATTAATGTCCTATTAGAATTCTTCACACACTCACAAATGTTCCAATGTTTAATTTTCTGCCTCTAAGACTCTTGAATCAGCAGCAACGTTGATCTGGTTTGATAGTTTCATACTCCATAAAGTGCAGGCAAATATGTGGCCAAAATCAACTCGAAAGGGTCTTTTATGGCTATCTGAGAGAGATCTGATGGATTTACTGAGGTGGGCTCATGGGTGGGGCCTCAGCCGCAAGGTTTTGGTAATGAAAGAGTGGTCAGGAGCTTTTCAATATTATCCAACCTCAAGTCAATATTTCTGGGGATACCTAGAATAGAGGCAGGAAAAGTATTTCACTCATCTAAAAGAAGTGCACCTTTACAAAAAGAATAAAAAGATTGTGATTAAATATGAGGCCAAAACTCCCAAGAGAAATTTCATTCTTGAAAGTTAAACACTGACTCATTCTGATCCTAGAAATTTCTCCTCAAAATCATGATTAAGGCTGTTCCTTCTGAAAACAACAACTACCTCTAGGATCAAATCACTTAAGAGACTCTCGCTTTATTTTCCAGACTCAAATTCTCTGTTCCCTTAGTTATTAAATTCAGAATCGAAAGCACTAAGCAAACAGTCTTTGAAGAGACAGCCTTCTGCACCCGTCCCTGCACTCCACAATTGAGAGAGGTGAAGAAAGATGCCTGTAAAAAGCTACAGGAGCAATAATAATAAACTCTAGCTCCATCAAAGTCCTGGGCAAGTCCAAAGACCCTTGTAACTGGGCTGTTTCAACTCTAGACAGATGCCTATTAAGGACTCTAAACCTGGAAACAGTCACCATTCTATGGTGCTTAAAAACAATTATTATACTTCCTTTCATCCTTTTCTCTAATTGCAAAAATAGGGAGCAACAGGAGACAGAATTCCTTCACTATGGCCCACTGCAAAGCCAGATGTGCAGTGAGTTAAATAATTTTTCTCTTTGTCACTCAAAACCCAACTTTAAAATAACTTTAAAAAAAAAGAAAGAAAGAAAAATAAGTGGAGCAAGAAAGGGGCTTTTGTCCCTTCTACAATCATATTTCTAACTCCCCTTCGTCTGGACACCCATTCTAATGCTCCAACAAAATGTAAAGCCCTCCTTTCAGGTATTCACTCCTCCCATACAGAAATCAATCTATCCATCTAATTTTAAGATAAACAGAGAAGGCGAAAGGAATGACTAGGAGACCTTATTTACACCCTAATCACAGGCGTGCCCAAGCAGCTCCCGCAACGTTAACAAAAATCAAAATTGTCACAACTGATTAAAAATGTAAAACCAACCTTCAAAAGGACACCTCTCCGCCCACCAGGACCCAAGCAAACAGCCTGCCCACTCGGCCTCCCACCTCGACGCCTCTCCCCAGCCGGAGATTTCTCACCCTTCCTTCCTCCCAGGCAACACCACCTCAACTCGAGGGGCCGGAGCAGGATCTAAGAACAAAGAAGGTCCCCCCAAATCTCCCCCACGCTGGCAGAGGCCAGAGTCGAATCCATTGTTTATACCACCCCACCCCCACCCCAGCCGCACCCGCCCCCCCTTCCTCCCGGGGGCAGAAGGGAGCTCCAGGGCTATCGCTCGCCCGGCGCAGGGCCGTGCCCTTCCCTCCCCGACCGCGGCGGCCCGGGAACCCCACCACTAAGCAGTTCTGTCGCGGCGAGGCGGCGTCCGGGAACCACGGGGCGCCGGTGGAGGCGGGGGCTGTTCTTCAGGGCACCGGTGGATCCATCCTCATCTCCATCTCCGCCCCCCCTCCTCCTTCGCTGTCTCCCGGGCTTCCTCCTCTCCTGTTGTCAGTTAGGATCAGCTGATCGGAGTGAACTTCTCCTAGCTCGGACTAACAGGAAGGCGTGAGCGCTGCAGCCCACTGAGGGAGGAGCGGGAGAGGTGGAGCCTGACAGCGGCGAGGGCGGAGAGGTGTGCGCACAGCCTCCTGGGAAGTGTAGTTCCTCGGAGTGGCACCCTTCCCCAACTGCCCGGAAGTGAAGCCTCTGAATGACTACAACTCCCGGTACGGAAGAAGCTGCTCCTGCGAAGAGGCGCTAGAGACAGGCCCTCGAGCATTATGGGACTTGGAGTTTTTGCGCTGACTGCGGTTTCCGCAGGTTTCAGCACGTTGTTCTGGGTAGTGGCCAGAGAAGGAGTGGCTCTAAATTAGAGAACTGATGTAATAGGTAGTATAGGCCAGGCAAATAATTCGATTTCAAGTAACTTTTATTGCGCACCATTCCTTTAGAAATGTGTTAAAGACAGGCAGTCTCCAGTTACCCAATTTCGTCTTTCACAAACTAAGACCAGAAAGAATTTATATGAGAATTTGAGTAGTCTCGGAATGTTCTGCAAGCCAAGCATTAACTTTTTTCCCCTCCATTCATTTATTTCTCTGACCTCTCCTTACTTACCTTCAGAACTTCCAAGTTTTAAATCGTCTTTTGGTTAGAGAGGGGTACATTTATCCAGGTAAATTTTCAGGCTACAATACAAGCTAATGGTTAACACTGTTACCTGGTTTTTTGTTTGGGTTTTTTGGGGTTTTTTTGGAAATTGTCTTTTATTCAGTGCTTTCACTTTTTGTCTTTTCTGTTGTTTCTTAGAACAACACCGGAAGAAAGCCTGGTGTAAAGAGCACTGGTCTGAGGTGCTGAAGACTGTGATTGTTCTAAAAAGCTCCTGGGCAAATCACGCAACTCTCTATGAAATAAAAGGACTGTATCAGTGGAATCTCAAAGGTCCCTGCCAATTCTCATGTTCTCTGACTCTGTCTTGATAATTGTTAACCCAGGAGAGAAAGCGATGGTTAAGTGACTTGCCAAGGTTATAAAGCAAATAATTGACAAAGCTGGGACCAGAACCCATCTCCTGAATTAAAGTGAGATAATTTTTTACCTGATGATTCATGGGACATAGCTAGACCAATAGTAAAGCCAAATCTACATAACAAAGTATAAGTTATTTGTGAGGGTTAAATTGCTGAAAATTGTTTTCAAGACTGGACAGATAGTCAACAATTGGACTAACGACAAAACTTTGTTGAGAAATGCCACATCACAAATCGAGATGCTAAGAACTAAGCTATCTGTAGCATTTTGTAATTTTCAGGTTTTAAAGGGAGGAGAGGAAAAGAGGGATTTTAGAAATGAACTTAGGATAAAAGATCTTGAGCTAGGCTCTAAGGATTGGCTAGCATGTAACAAAATTTCCCTAGAAGGTTTTATTTCTAACCTACCACAATAATTTTTTATAATCTTAATAGTTTGCTTCATACTCCTAGCATAAAATGAGGATATTAATATATCTTGAGGACAAAATGGTATTTAAGTAAGTAAGTGAAGTCGCTTCAGTCATGTCCGACTCTTTGCAACCCCAATGGACTATAGCCTTCCAGGCTCCTCTGCCCATGGGATTTTCCAGGCAAGAATACTGGAGTGGGTTTCCATTTCCTTCTCCAAAGTGGTATTTAATCCTTTTTAAAACTTTAAATGGTATTTAATCCTCCAGTACTTTGGCCACCTGATGCGAAGAGCCAACTCACTGGAAAAGACCCTGATGCTGGGAAAGATTGAAGGCAGGAAGAGAAGGGGACGACAGAGGATGAGTTGGTTGGATGGCATCACCAACTCGATGGACATGAGTTTGAGCAAACTCCGGGAGATAGTGAGGGACAGGGAACCCTGGCATTCTGCAGTCCACGGGGTTGCAAAGAGTAGGACACGACTGAGAGACTGAACGACAGCGACCGGGAGATAGTGGAGGAGCCGGAGGAGCCTGTGTGCTGTAGTCCGTGGGGTCTCATTGGGACTACAGATTTGACTGAGCAACTGAACGACAACAAACCTAGTGGTTAACTCAGGGAGGGAGTTGATACAATCAGGGCACATGGTAGGCATCTGGGTGTTTGTTGGTAGTAGTCTACTCTTGACCTTCGTAGTAGCTATACCAATACTCACTAGATTTTGCTTTACACAATTTATATGTTTTTTGTACTTTCCCATTTGTATACATTGCAATACAACAGAGTTAGTCACTCTGTGCAACCGCATGGATTGTAGCCCGCCAGGCTCTGCTGTCCATGTAATTCTCTAGGCAAGAATACTGGAGTGGGTAGCCATTCCTTTCCCTAGGGGATCTTTCCAACCCAGGGATCGAAACCGGGTCTCCTGCAGATTCTGAGCTACCAGGGAAGCCCATTTGTATATCTCATTATAAAAAATAAAATTTAAAAATTTTAATTAGAAAAAACTGAATAATGCAAAACGTGACAGGAAAATAGAACCTACGAGGTAAGCAAGCCAAGCTTTTGGACTTACTGATTTCCTTAGGTCACTCAGCACATAATTTTAAAGGTCTTAACCCTAACAAGACATACAGAACAAGTAAAAGGTTTTCAGGTTTGTCATTTTAAAATATGATAATCTATTTCATCAAATTATGTTTGAGTCCACCAACCTATGAGCTATATTTTCCTTCCAGTAGTTATGGCAGAAGTTGTGAATCAAACTGCCTTAATCAATAAAAGAAATGATTTGGTTCACATAATTGAACAATCTGGGGATTATCTTTTCTGCCAAATCTCAATCTTGGCATCAAATAACATATTCAAGATCTTATTTCCTTCTCCATTTCTCATCTTTGAGAAATGCACTCAATTAATTTTTGACAAACGTGCAAAAGCAATTCAGTTACAGGAAGCATTGTCTTTCCTTTATCTTTGAGGAAGAATGATGCTGGAGTAATTGCACACAAAAAAATAGGCAAAAAGAAAAAAAAATTAACCTCAACTTGAACCTCATACCTTACACAAAAATTGATTAAAAACTGATCATAGAT